AGTAGAGACAGGGTCTCGTTCTTGCTCAGGCTGGTCTCGAACTCTTGAGCTCAGGCAATCGTCCTGCCTTGGCCTCCCAGAGTGCTAGGATTACAGGCTTGAGCCACCGCGCCCGGCCTACATCTTAATGCAACCAAATTCTACTTATTCTTTAAAATCCATTCCAAGTGTTATTCCTGTCCTGCTCCAAGCCCAAAGTGATTTGTTTCTCCTTTGAACTCCAACCCACATTCAAGTATTAGGTATGTATATCCCTACATTCCTGTACTACACAGCAACCAACCTTCCTAAGGATAGCGTGTCTATTCCTTAATGTACCATTTGGAGCACAATACTTTACATATATAATAGTCCACCAACAAGAGCCAGTCAGATGAATGAACAATAGAAACAGTGCAATTAGGATATAAACTGTCTGCCAAGCAGGGAAAGTAAAATAGCCATTTCTCTTCCTTCTCCAAAACCCTCCTGCCTGGCAGCACAGACTAACTAGATTGAACTATTTAAATGAGAAAAACCTTACAAATGGACTGAACGACAATAAAAATTAAGAGAAAAAGTTTCATACTAGATAACGTCCACAGGAAATCAAGTTCTATTTCTACATATTACCTCAAAATGATGAGCACACATAACAAAAACTTATAAAAATAAACATTAATAAAATTAATGTTAGATTGAATACATAACCAAGACAAATAGAGTCAATATTTCTGAGTAATTTATAATCTAATAGAGGAGTCACATGTTAAGACATAAAAAGTACTCATCATAATGTTTACAATGAAACAAACTAATTTCTTAAAGGAAGTATTTGCTGTAACAGTTCACAAATAGAGTTTGAAAAAAATACCTCAAAATATAAAGACTCAGAATTTGGGTCGCTTCTATGGGATTGACTAGGGTTTAAATGCTTATTATCTTGTCTCTTTTGCAAATTCTGTCTTCTTTCTGAGGAAGTACTGTGTCCTCGGCATCTGAATCCAACCTAGGTAAACCCCACAGGGGAAAAGAAAATCTAATTATTTTTAAGTAAACATTTTATTGAAGTATAGATACTTAGACACTTGCAAAAAGTATCTAAAAGTGTACAACTCAATAAATTTTCACAAGTGTGTAATTTATTTTAAAAGGTCAAAACTTCCAACAAGTTAATTATAAGGAAAATATGAAAATGAGACAACTAATGCATGCTATTTATTTTTTTCCTGTACATCAACATTTATTACCAGCTTTATTCGTAGAAGCTAAAAACAGGAAACAAGCCAGATGGCCTTCAGTGGGTGAACAGTTAAACTGACTGTGGTATATCCATACTACAGTATGGTGGTCAGTAGTCAACCACAAAAAGAAACAAACTACAGGGATCTCCAGAGAACCATTCAAGTGAAAAAGCCAATCCCAAAAGCACTGTGTGAGTGCATTTATACAACATTCCTAACAACAAAATTATAGAAAGGGAGGATAGATTAGTGGATTCTAGGGGATAAAGGGCGGCTGGTGGGGAAGAGAAAAGAGTGTGGCTACGAAAGGGCA